ACGGCCCCGGTGAGTGCCAGCCCAGCCCGCAGCCCTCCGCTCACACCACACGGGGGAGGCCCTGCAGATTCCTGCTTCAAGTGTCCCAGATGGGCAGTGGAATAGAGGCTGAGAGCACTGCAGGGTCCAGTGCAGGGTTTCTTCTGGGGAGCTCTGTCACCGCGGCCAGTTGTCCTGGAGGGGTGACAGCACAGCTCTCGTGCCCCATGGAGCCCTGGCACAGCTCCTGCTGCCCTGGGGAAGCCCTGGCACAGCTCTCCTCCTTCCCAGCACTGTTCTCTCTGCCCATAGGTGAGCACTGGCAAAGCTGCCTGTGTCCTGGGAGCATCCTGGCAGAGCATCCACTGCCCTGTGGAGCCCTGGCACAGCTCCCTCTGCCCTGGGGAGCTCTGGCACAGCTCCCTCTGCCCTGGGGAGCTCTGGCACAGCTCTCTCTGCCCCTGGAGGAGTCCTGGCAAGCTCCCACTTCCCTGGGGGAGCACTGGCACAGCTTCTCCTTCCCTAAAAGAGCCCAAACCCAGCTGCCTCTCCCCTCAGGAGGAGTCCTGGCACAGCTTGCTCTGCCCTTGGGGAAGTCCTGGCACAGCTGTGCCCCATGGAGGCCTGGCACAGCTCTGTACACAGCAGGAAGGCAGCAGCATGGATCCCTCAGCTCCTGGGAGAGCCCTGGCACAGTTCCTACACCCCTGGGAGACCCCACTGCAGGGCTGCAGGCCTTCCCAGGAGCTTGCCAAGCCATTGTGGCTCCCAGCAGCGTGTGAGGGATTTTCACCACTGAGCTGGAGGAGAGAAGTTCCCCTGGGGAAGCCTTTTCTCAGGGAGCTGGAGCAGGGCTGGCAGTTGAGCTCTGCAGTCAGAAAGATCTTGTGCCTCCCCACCAGGACAGCACAGAGCTGTCCTCAGCAGCCACCACTGCTCACTCAGCCCCCTGGACAGGCACAAACACTTGGGGAGGGGGACATGCTGCACAAAACAGCACAAGGCTCTGATCACAACAACCCCAGTGCCCTCCCAGGGCTGCCCAGGCAGCAGCAGCACCTGTGCCATGCAGTGCCAGGTTTGCTCACAGGGGTGTGGCAGGGCAGGCTGGGTGTGTGGGACAGCCCAGCCCAGGGCAGGGCTCTCCCAGCCCTGCACAGTGGCCCTGAGCAGGCATTGGGGTGCAGCCCTGCACAGTGGCACAGAGTGGGGCTCAGGAGCATGGCAAGGTAGGTGCTATGGGCAGCTGGCAAACAGCACAGCCAGGGAGGTGGGAGAGGGCAGCAGTTCATGGTGAGGACGGCACAGGCAGAGCTGCCAGTGGAATAGGCATGGAGGGCAGTGGGGCTGTGCAGGGGTGAGGAGGTGATGGGAACAATGGTTTGGGTGGTTGGGGAGCAGAGCAGGGGATGCAGGGGGCGACCCTGGCACTGGGCACTGCAGCAGAGCTCTGGGGGCAGTGGGACACAGAGCTAAGAGCTGATACCCAAGAAGCAGCAGGGCTGCTCTGGACAGATGGACAGTGGTCAGTGAGGATCAAGGGGGAGCAGAGACACCACAGGGGCATCTCCAGCTGCTCCCTCACTGCCCAAGGGCAGGGGGATGGTCCCATTGTGCCCTGCAGCTCATCCCAACTCCACCATCACCCATCCTGGACCTCCCTCTGCTGCCTGCAAGGGACTCCTGGGGGTGAGGGTCCTTCTTCAGCAAGAACTCTTCCTTTGTGCCCAGCACTGCAATGCTGTTTCCCATGAACCAGGGACAGTGTTCCTTCTAGCTCCCTCCACAGAAAGGTGGCCAGGATGTGCATGGCCAGGCAGAGTGATCCCACTGCTGCCCTGGATCCAACCCACCTGGAGGGACAATTCCCTGGGGCTGGTTTTTGTGGGACAAGGCCATGGCCAGGCAGCAGGGAAATACACACAAGGGCCTGGAGGGGATGGGGACAGCAGCTGACAGGCACTGGGCTTCAAATGCCATCCATCCTGGAAAGGGAGCCTGGCAAAAAGCTGGCAAAGACATGCAGGTGTTTGGCACAGGCAGAGATTTCCCTCTTCTCAGTGACCTTTCCTGGCCTGAGCTCTGTGAGATGCCCCCTCAGGTGGTGATGGGGAGGGCTTGGGGTGGCTGGGGAGGTGCCTCATGTGGGCTTCACACTCTCTGAACCTGAGAGAAGCAGAGAAAAGAATGATCAAAACGATTCTTATCTCATTTGCTGCATCTGTGTTGTTCACAAGTGGAATGCATTGTGGAGATTGTTCACCTGGAGGGAATTGGTCATTGGATTCTGGTGTGTATGTTTTGATCATGCTGTTCTCTGCTTCTCTCAGACTCAGAGAATGTGAATCCCACCCCGTATACAAGCCAAGCACAGCTGACCAGCAGCAGCATCTCTGCCCTTCCCTTGTCCTGCATGTCCCCAGGACACCAGGCTGTCCTGTGCCACCGTGTCTGGCAGTGACAAGGGGCCAGCCTGGTCCTGGCTCTCAGAGCTAGCTCAGGGAGCTGGTTTGCCTGTCTCCGTCCTGCTCAAAGCCAAGCATTTTGGGTTGGTTTGACCCGCTAAATTGTCATTTTCCCTCACCAACCTCAGCAGGATGAGAGCCAGGGCTCCTGCCATGCACTGACTCCATTTCCCTGTATCTCCCCATGCAGATGGCTGCGCAGTCAGGCCAAAAGTTTTCTATTTCATCCCCAAGTTTTTGTAAGTCAAGCCCAGCCCTGTCAGAGGTAAAGCAGCCTCCACCCTATGAGGATGCAGTGAAGCAGGTAACTGCATGGTTTCTGTTTTCTCCAGCCTAGGGCTGCCCCTGCTGTCTGTTTGTAGTCAGTGGGACTCAGCTGCAGGAGTCCCACCCTGTTCTGGTCTCTGGGCAGGACAGACCTGTTTCCATGAGGAATGGGCTTTCCTGAAGGGTTGGTGCTGGCTAGCTGCCACAAAGGAGAACACCCTGCTGGGCTGGATGGTGTCCCCTGTGCACCCAGGGGTCCTGACACCCCCAGCTCCCCTGGGTGCCAGTGTGCTCTCTTTGGGTGCTCAGTGCTATGTCAGAGACAGACCCTTGAGCATTCCCAGGTCCCCAGGAAAGCTCATCCTGCTCATCCATCTGCCCCTAAGCCATACCCTGGAGCTCTGTTCCTGCAGGGAGGACTGGCCATCACCCAGGAACACCCAGAACACCTTCCTTCCCATCAGTCTGGGAGCAGCCTCAGTGCTGGGACTGCTGGTGCCTTTGAGAAAGTGGAGTGATGCTGTTGGCAGGGTGAAAATGGAGATCTTGCAGGTTCTGGCCAGGGAGAGGAGGGAGACTGGGCAGTGCAGGGAGGGCAGGCAGGCACGTGCCAGTGTGAGGTGATGGGGCCAAAATGCTGTGTCCTGAGGGCCCTGGGACAGGGCAGGCTGTGGTGGCCACAGGGCAGAGGGTTGGCAGCAGGGAAGGTGCTTTGCTCATTGTGCCACATCCCTGCAATGCCCTGAATGCTGCTGCCAGCCCCGTGTTGGTGTGGCCTCTCTCCTGTGTGGGAGGAAGCCATTTGTGGGGTCTAGAGCCATCCTTTCTGGGGTCTAGAGCATCTACCTGGCTTGTGGCTGGAGGGACTCTCCTCCTAATGGCCTCTCCTCTCCTCTTTGTCGTTTGCTGCAGCAGATGACACGAAGTCAGCAGATGGACGAGCTCCTGGACGTGCTGATTGAGAGTGGAGGTATGCTCTGCTTCCCTCTTCCCCCCTGGGGCCCCCCCTCCAGCCAGCATCAGTCTGTGGGGCTCAGTGCACCCCAGCAGAGCTGCCTGAGTTGAGCACAGCTTTCCCCTGCCCTCCCTGTGCCCGCAGCCACTGAGATTGAACCCAAAAGCACATTGGCCCTCCTGGACTCTGCTCCTGTGTGTGCCAATCTTTGGGGTGGCCTGGGCTCGGCTGTCACCTGTGCAGAGAGAGGGGACAGCAGGACAGGAGCCCTGTGCTCAGCACTGCCAGCCCCTGCCCACACAGAGCCCCCAGTGCCCCCCATTCCCAGGGCTGCCAGTGCCATCTCCCACACAGAGCACTTCTGCTGCCCTTCCCTGTGCAGAGTGCTGCCTGTGCCCTTCCCCAGCCCCTTGGGGACAGCTGCCAGTGCTTGTGCCCTAGGGACTGTGTCCAAACCCGGGGGACAAAGTCAGAAAGCAGGAATGTGTGAGGGAGGGTGGGCAAGCAGTGCCAGTGGGATCGAGCAGGTCTCCAGAGGAATGCCCAGGAGGTCAGCTGAAGGGCTGTGGTGGTGGGCACTGCCAGGGCACCTCAAACCCCTCTCGTTTGTTGACAGAAATCCCAGCCAATGCCAAGGAGGATCGTTCCTGCCTGCAGAAGGTGCCTCAGATCATGGTGTCTGCGGGGAGCTCGGCTGGCCCTGTCCCCAAGGGCTCTGCCCCCTTCGAGCCGGGGCCCCCGGCCCCGCTGCCCTTCGAGCACTGCCCGGGCAGCAGCGACGCCCACCTGGAGGTGCTGCTCAACAGCCCCCTGGGCAGGGTCAGCGAGATGGCCCTGCTGAAGCTGGGAGCAGAGGAGCCCCCCTTCGAGGGCATGATGGAGGGATTCTCTGGCAAGGCCGCCGACGAACTGCTCAACTCCCAGGAGATTTTACAGACTCCCCTGTCGCCCATGGACACCCAGCTGTCCCCCTCCCCTGCTGAAGGCTCTGCCTTACAAATGAGTTTCACTGAGTCTCCGTGGGAAACAATGGAGTGGCTGGACCTGACCCCCCCCAGCTCGGCCAGCGGCTTCAGCTCGCTCACCCCCGCGGGGCCCAGCATCTTCAACATCGACTTCCTGGACGTGGCTGACCTCAACCTCAACACCAGCATGGACCTGCACCTGCAGCAGTGGTGAGGGCACGTGCTGGGGCAGGGGGCTGTGGGCCTGCAGCAGGCAGCACAGCGCTCCTGCCGTGCCACAGAACGTGCAGGGCTAACGTGTGCCTCATCCAGGGCAAACTGGAGTCATTTCCCAGCATATAGACTTGTTTGGATTTCCAGTCACTGAAAATGGACAGCACAGCTCTGGTACTTTGGTTTTCCTCCATTGACACAACCCAACAGAGGACACCAGTGCCTGAAACAACACTTCCTTTGACTGACAAGAACTTCCATTTTCTTTCTTTAATCTCCCCTCCCCCCCCAGTTTTAGCAGTCACTCTTGTGAGAACTGGAGCAGCTCATGACAAGACTGTGTGGTGAGGTGACCTCACCTGGGTGGCAACAGGAAATCATGGAGAGGGAAACTCCTCTCCTCTCCTCTCCTCTCCTCTCCTCTCCTCTGGCAGACCTGTTGGGCTCACCTTGGCTGTGCCCATGCCAGGGTGAGGAGCAGGGGCTGTGCCCAGCTAGGTGCCCAGGTGCCCAGCACCCTTTGTGCACAGCTGGGCTCTCATTTCCCTCCTGCCCAAAGCTGCACTGCCCCATCGAGCAGAGCTCTGCTCCAGGTGGATGAGAGATGGAGATCACTGAGCTCACGGTGGCACCTTGGCATGTCCTGAGGGGCTGAGAGCCCAGGACTGTCCTGGCTGCATTCTGAGCTGGATCAGGCTGCAGCCTGGGAGCAGAGAGCTCTGAACGTTGGAGCAGATGTTGAGGATGCAGGCGCAGGAATGGGGGATGTGGCAGCCCGGCCGTGTCCCCGTGCACACGAAGAGATGAGTGATGTGTTTTGGCCAAGGTAGGAGCAAGTGGTGAGAAAGGACCAGCCAGGCTTTGGAGGGGCTGTTCGTGCACAGCCAGGTCGGTGTGATCTCCAGCCCTTGCATGATCCGGGAGCAGGGGGAGCCGGGCAGGGACACTCGGTGACATCTCGGGGGGCAGAGCCGAGCGAGCCCTCGCGTGGCCGAGGCTCTGTGTGAGTGCCTGCCCCTGCCACCTTCCCCTCCGTCCCTCCTCCGTGCCCAGCAGCGTTCCCCTCCTCCCCGAGGTTATCCAGCGTCACTGCCCCCCAGCCCAGAGCAAGGCTACCGGAGAACAGCTGTGAATCACCGAGCCGGGAGGAGCCCGTTCTCCCGCAGCCCGCAGGGAAGGGAGCTCTCTCGCAGTGATGCTCCCGTTGGGAATCACCAGCATTTCTCCTCGGAGTCTCTGTGCAATATTCTTCCTCAGGCTCTCGCAAGAAGGAGCCTTTGCTTCACTTCTTGGCTTCCACCAAAGAACTCGCTGCAGACTTTGCGACGGGCAGCGTCCATTCGTCGCAACTCTGGTTTTGCCAAAGTAAATATTGTTGCTAACAAAGATTGTTAAACTATTTACAGACTGAGTGTATTTAATATTTGTGTTACTGGAAGGACAGCACACGGAGGTGAAGCTGCTGGGAGGCTCCCCCAGGGATGCTGGAGCTGTGGGAGGCAGCCCTGCAGTGTCCCCAGGCCCTGGCCTTGTTGCATGCTGTATAAAGCACCTGGCAGTAGCTTTCGAGTCACTATTTAAAGCACCATTTTTCTATTGTACAAATGTCACAGGGCACTGCTAGCATAGACAATCACAGGTTGCATTTTTTTAAAAGAATTTCTTTTTCTAAGTGAGAGATTTTTTTGAAGCCAGTCTGTGGAGAATATTCAGAGCACTTGAAGCAGAGTAGTGTTAGCTGCTCCACTGTGGCCTTGTACAGAGTTTTCCAGGTAACTTTCTCCTCTCAGCAATTGTATTTCCTTATTTAAAGGGATGCTGTCAGCTTCAAACCTGTAAGCAAGCACATTTCCTTACCTATGTTACCAGCAACACCTTCATTATTAAAACCCTTGTCTTGCCACTCTGTCTGCTCATGGTTTGCTGTTTGACTTCACCACTGGGACAGCCACAGCCATCCCAGCTGCCACCCCCTGGGACCAGCTCCATGCCCTGGGACAGCCACAGTCCTTCAAGGCCAGATGAATTTCATTCATGGCAGCACTTTCTCCTGGAAGATTTCTGAACACACCACCAGAGCCTGTTTTTCTTCTGTTGGCTCTGGCTTTGCTGTTTTCCTGCAGCCCCCACTCCTTGTGTACAGGCAGAGCTGAGCCCGTGCCCATATCCCTTGGTGTTTGTGTCAGCACTGGGCTGGTGGCTGCAGGGTGCAGCTCTGCACAGCCAAAACTTCCCCTGCCCACATGCACAGCAGGCTGGGACGCTGGGGAACCCTGCATCCTTCTCCACAGCAGCCCTGAGTGTCTGTTTCCACATTTGTCACACCTTCCCTTTGATTAGAAAAGGTTCCCAGGCATTTGCCCACCTGTGTGCAAAGAGGGACTGCCCAGGGGGGCTAAAGATGAAATGGTCCTGAGACATGGCTCAAGTGCACCTGAAAAGATGCAGATGAGCAATTAACCAGTTCCTATGAACATCTTTAATGTCTAACCACACCCCGCAGCCAGGTGGGCTGTGATGAACAGCCTGGTTGGGGTCACTCAGAGGATAAGGAGACAAACCTCAGCCTGGGATTAATTCAGGAATGACCATGGAGTGGAGCCCTCCCCTGCCCGGTCTGCCTGCTGGGGAGAGCCTGCCCGTGCTGCTGTGAAAGGCAAAAGGCAAAGAGCAGAGGGAGTGGTGCAGCTCTAAGGGCAGGAGGGATGCCTGGCCGGTGCCGAGGTTTGGAGCAGAGCACCTGGGGAGGCTGAGTCCAGACCAGGCTGCAGCTGCTGGCAGAGAAAGGGATCACAGGGTGTCCTGAGTCTCCTCCCAAGCCCCAGAGGACACCAGCAGTGGATTTTCTGCTGCATGGAGAACTCAGCCCAGCTCTGCCTGGGCCCCTGGTCCTGCAGCCAGCCTGGAGCAGCCTCCAGGGAAAGCAAGAGGGTGTGCCAGTGGGATGGGACCCCTCCCCAGTGAGATGGGACCTCTCCCCTCCACTGCCCTGAGTCAGCCCTCACTCAGTCTTCCATGTGTAGGTGATCTTCCCACACAGCCTGTCCCAAGGAATTTATGGTCTGGGATTTTCCCTTCTCTCAACACCAAGCTGAAGGATCCCAGTGATGCCCTACTCTCCCTTCATCTTCCTGCCAGAAAAAACAAACAAACAAACACACCAGAAGTAATACAAAACAAGTAAACAAACAATGTTCTGAGAGTCAAATTAACATTTTACATGCCTTTAGCAAGTTTTTAAAATTGTGAGCTGCCTGTCTCAGTTCACCATTCAGTGCTTCCGCCGCCACAGGCACTGAGACATCCTCAGCATCTCCCCAACAGCTCCCAGGTCATGGTTCAGGCAGTTTCTCTCCACATGGAACCCCACAGGCACCACAGAATTTACCACATACAGTCCTGAAAGCCAGAAAATCTTCTCAGTGTCCATATCTGCCTTCCCACACACCCCAAACCCCTAAGGGAAGGGAAGGGAAGGGAAGGGAAGGAGGAAGGAAGACACAGCCACACCTGCAGGGTGACACCCCTGCACCCAGCTCTTCTGCTCAATTTCAACAGGAGTTTCCTGCTTGGCCACGCCACGTTCTCCTGATGGAAGGCATGGATTTATGCCAAGACAAAGGTTTTCTGCAGATGTCTCCCGGAACAGCCCAGCCTACCCTGCTGTTCTGTTTCCAGCAGAAAGTGCCGTGTGTCTCCAGGAGAGGGAGTTTGTGCTTCATCTCGTTCTCCAAGCACTTGCACAGCTGCAAACATAAAGGCAAAATACAGCATTTTCCTTTTCCTGTTCCTCAGAGCACTCACTCCATCTATCCCTGGGCCCCTTACCTCGCTTTGAGCCTGGGGAAAGATGGAGTGATTTGTGTCAGTCCTTTCCTCAGGACTTCTCCTGAGAAGCTGAGAGGCCTCAGAAATGAAATGTAAACAATAATTGTCTGCTGCGGAGGAATGCAACAGGTGCATCTTTGATTGGTCTCATGTGGTTGGTTTTAATTAATGGTCAGTCAAAGTCCAGCTGTCTCAGACTCTCTGGTCAGTCACAAGATTTTATTATCATTCCTTTCCATTTTCTTTCAAGCCTTCTGATGAAATCCTTTCTTCTATTCTTTTAGTATAGTTTTAATACATAATTTTCTTTTAATATAATATCTATCATAAAATAATAAATCAGCCTTCTGAAACATGGAGTCAAGATTCTCATCTCTTCCCTTGTTGGGGTTGCCTGCAAATTTAGCGTTTGGTGACCCCGAGTGAGGAACATTCCCACAGAACTATTCCTGATCCTGAGCTCTGCCATGAGCAGGGATCCCTGCAGGTGCTCTGCTCTCCCTCTCTGGGCTGGGCACCCCTGGCCTGTCCCATCTAGCCCAGTGCAGCAGGACAGGCACTCCTGACCAGCTCCTCTTCCTTCCCAGAGGGGCTGCTGGGGTCCAGCTCTGACTGGGCAGATTCCAAACCTTCCACAGCCTCCAAGCAGAAGAGACCTCTGAGCACCAGGACTCACCCAGGACTCTGAGTCCATCTGGGTTCTGCAGACCTTGCAACCATCAGAGCTGGGAGCTCCACCTGCCCTTCCCTGGAGGGTGGGCACAGCCCCCTCTCACCCTGGTTTTTTAAGATTTTCTAAGCCTTCTGATGTTGACATTCTTGTAGAGAACTTTCTCACACACTTTCTGTAAATAACTCATTGTTTTGCATTCCTTTATAGAAGAGGAGAAATTTGATGGACTGTTGGTTTGTCCAGTGCCATTGCAGAGGTGGCACTGTCACCCTCCAATCCACTGCCACTTTTGGAAAACTATAAATGTTGGAGTCAGAAAATAAACTTCCCTTTTCCTTCACCTTGAGAGCAGCAGTGTGTGCTTGTGTTCTTTCATGTCCTACAGTGACAGCCCCCTGCCCTCCTGACAGGGACAAGGTGTCCTGAGCCACCAGGACCTCCCTGGGCTGCAAACACTGCTTGTCTGAGAGGAGCCCAAACACAGAGGGCCCAGCAGAATTCCAGAGAGAGGAAATACATCCAGAGCTCCCTTCACCTCCTTCATTCCAGAGAGAAAACACATCCAGAGCTCCCTTCACCTCCTTCATTTGGCACAAGAAGATCTGAAGGTTGCTTTCCTCTTCCACCTGGAAGGCAGGTGTTCCACAGCTCTTATGAACCTTCCCCTTCATGTCTGACCTTACAAAATGAAAATAACAAGGTCACAGTCGCATCTTAGTTTTATTACAACTGACCTGCAAGCAAAAGGATAGAACTATTACATAAACACTCTGATCCATGTAGAATAGCTTAAATAGAGGAGGAAGTCAAACCAGGAGACCGGATAAAATATTCGGAAGCTCTTTGAAGCAGTTATGTTCCTGAGCTTCATTTTACAGACAATAAGGCAACATCCCTGCACATCAGCTTTTTGATATTTTTATACATTTTTCTTCTATGGTACAAGAAAAAAAAAAATAATAACCAGAATTCACAATGTACAGTTCTTACACTATTTTCACAGCTTCTGAACACTATACACCTTTTTTTCTTTTTTTTTTCTTTAATAGATACATTGCAATAAATGGTGCACCCTTAGTAATTTATAAGAATCCTATTTGAATAGGCTAAACCTGTCCTGTACAGCAGCACCTCCCTCCTGTCACTGGCAGCTCAAAGCTTTGCATTTCCATTCCCAGCCAGCTGGTTCTGGGCTGGAGATGGGACAGCACCAGAGCACAGACCCAGCCATCCCCACAGGGCAGAACAAGGCGGTCCTGTGTGTCTGGGGAGGTTCCATCACAGTGCTGCCCCTCTGAGAGGTTTTTGGGTTCGCTGCTGCCAGGAGGAGTCAGACTGACACCAGAGGGAGGGTGAAGCCCCAGCTGCGGCTGCCCTTGCTGGGCGTGGGTCTCTCCATCCCCACAGCCAGCAGCCCTGGGGACCTGCAGTGCCACTCCAGGGGCTGAGGCTGGAGAGAGGAACCCCAGCTCCACGGGGATCTGCCTGAGAAAGGCTCTGGGGTGGGCACTCAGTGGCTGCTTTAGGCAGGCATGGTCTGACTGATCTCCGTGCAGGAGGCACCAGAGCTGTCAGGAGGAGCAGGGACTGCAGAAAGCTGCCTTGCCTGAGGAGCAGCCCAAGAGGAACAGTCCAGGAAGGGCAGCACCAAGGGAGCCAGCAGGAGCCCCAGGACGTGTCACCTCCGTGGCAGACAGACAGACAGACACCAGCTGTGTCCAGGGCCTCAGCTCTCCTTCCCAGCTGGGCTGTGCTGCTTGCTCTTCACTCAGCCTCGGGCTGCTTTGTGCATGGTGGCTTTGGCGGATGTGGGGAGCCCTTCCTGGGGATCCTGCCAGCACCACGGTGTTTTCATTCCCTCTGTGTCCAGCTTGCTGCTGAGCTCTGATAGGAGGCTGCTCTAACACTGATGAAGTCCTACCAAGCACCTCAATCAGCTCAGAACGGAGAGACCCTGCAGCCTCCATTTTATCCCTGGTGTGCTACTAAACACCTGAAAACTGCAGTATTTGGGGGGGAAAAAAAAGGTTTTGGGAAAAATTAATCTTTGAAAAATATGTCAATTAAGCAAACAGAAAAGCCTGATGTGCTGTTTCACCTAGAAGTGGACCAGAAGACGACAGCTTGCCTGGCAATGGACCAGAAGACAAGAGCTTGCCTGGCCTTGCTGGGCCAGCTGAGAGGAGTTGGAAGCTCCTTCACCTCCACCTCACCTCCTTCTGCACCCCCCCAATCTCAGAGGGGTTTGCTCAGGGTGCAGCAGCAGGAGCTGTGGAGGATCAGTCTCCAGGTGATGGCGCCAAAGTGTCCCCAGCAGCTCAGCAGGGTGTGCTGGGCACAGGGCCACCCCTCCATCCTGCCTGCAGCAGCAAGGAGAAGAGCT